CTCCCAGACAGTCCTGGCTATTTTTGTTTCTTTTTGACCAATTTAATTTAAAACAGTCACAGTAAGGTACTTAATCGTTACCAATAAAGAATTTGATATTGAGATAAAAACGGCTGCATTGGACTTTAATAAGACCCCGACTGAATTCCTACAAAAGGGGGCCAGTTCCCCATCCCTGCTCTAGAGTCTAGACAATGGGTCTCCAACAGGTTGATCACAAGCTACCAGTAGCTCATATAGCCCACCTATGAGTAGCTCGCCAAACAATTCTGAAAGTGCATGTCTTTTTCACGTGTTCCACCGCAAACTGTCATAAACAAATCTCACAAGTATCAGACAACTCAAGCTCCCGGCTACTAACCAATACATTCCACGTTGACATTGTCCCAACCCTAGTGAAATTAAATAGATTTTTACACACAAAACCCCATAATGACAAAGTGAAAACATGTTTTTAGAAAATATAGCATATTTATTGAAAATGAAATATCTCATTTACATAAGTATTCACACAATGTTAGAATCACCTTTGGCAGCGAGTACAGCTGTGAGGCTTCTGGGTAAGTCTCTAAGAGCTTTGCACACCTGGATTGTACAATATTCTTTTAACAATTCTTCAAGCTCTGTCAAGTTGGGTGTTTATTATTGCTAGACAGCCATTTTCAAGTATTGCCATAGATTTTCAAGCTGATTTCAGTCAAAACTGTAGCTATGCCATTCAAGAACATTCAATGTCGTCTTGGTAAGCAACTACCGTGTATATTTGGCTTGTGTTTTAGATTATTGTCCTGCTGAAAGGTGAATTTGTCTCCCAGTGTCTGTTGGAAAGCAGACTGAACCAGGTTTTCCTCTAGGATTTTGCCTGTGCTTAGAGCTATTCCATTTATTTTTATAAAAATAAAAAATAAACTCCCTAGTCCTTGCCGATGACACGCATCCCTATAACATGATGCAGCCACCACCACGCTTGAAAATATGAAGAGCAGTACTCAGTAATGTGTTGTGTTGGATTTACCCCAAACATAATGCTTTGTATTCAGGACATAAAGTAATTTTCCTTTTGCCACATTTTTTACAGTTTTACTTTAGTGCAAACAGGATGCATGTTTTGGAATATTATATTATATGCAGGCTTCCTTCTTTTCACTCTTTCATTTAGATTAGCATTGTGGAGTAACTACAATGTTGTTGAGCCATCCTCAGTTTCCTCCTATCACAGCCATTAAACTATGTAATGGTTTTAAAGTCACCATTGGCCTCATGGTGAAATCCCTGAGAGGACTCCTTTCTCTCTGGCAACTGAGTTAGGAAGGGTGCCTGTATCTTTGTAGTGACTGGGTGTATTGATACACCATCCAAAGTGTAATTCACACCTTCACCATGCTCAAAGGGATATTCAATGTCTGCTTTTCTTTTTACCCATCTACCAATAGGTGCCCGTCCTTGCGAGGGAGGCATTGGTAAACCTCCCTGGTCTTTGTGGTTGAATCTGGGTTTGAAATTCACTGCTCGACTGAGGGACCATACAGATAATTGTATGTGTGGGGTACAGAGATGAGGTAGTCATTCAAAAATGACTACTGCACACAGAGTGAGTCCATGCAACTTATTATGTGACACATTTTTACTCCTGAACTTATTTGGTCTTGCCATAACAAAGGGGTTGAATACTTATTGACTCAAGACATTTCAGCTTTCATTTTTAATTAATTTGCAAACATTTCTAAAAACATAATTCCACTTTGACATTATGTATTATGTATGTATTATGTATTGTCTGTAGGCAAGTGACACAAAATCTCAATTTAATGCATTTTTAATTCAGGCTGTAAAACAACAACATGTAGAAAAAGTCAAGGGTTGTGAATACTTTCTAAAGGCACTGTAGCCGCAATTGGCTTAAAATGCCAAATGTAACACAATATCTGCCTATTTATTTCCATCAATATTGCCCCTGTATGTCTGTAAGCCATAATGATATCTGTCTTCTGGGTAGAAATAAATAATTTCCCCAGAACCTTATCAATTAAATGTTAACTACAAAGTAGGCTTACCTGACAGAATTACAGTGCCTTGCAAAAGTATTAATCCCCCTTGGTGTTTTTCCTATTTTGTTGCATTACAACCTGTAATTTAAATAGATTTTCATTTGGATTTCATGTAATGGACATGAAATAGTCCAAATTGGTGAAGTGAAATGAAAAAAATAACGGAAAAGTGGTGCGTGCATATGTATTCACCCCCTTTGCTATGAAGACCCTAAATAAGATCTGGTGCAGCCAATTACCTTCAGAAGTCACATAATTAGTTAAATAAAGTCCACCTGTGTGCAATCTAAGTGTCACATGATCTGTCACATGATCTCAGTATATATACACCTGCTCTGAAAGGCCCCAGAGTCTGCAACACCACTAAGCAAGGGGCACCACCAAGAAAGCGGCACCATGAAGACCAAGGAGCTCTCCAAACAGGTCAGGGACAAAGTTGTGGAGAAGTACAGATCAGGGTTGGGTTATAAAAATATATCCGAAACTTTGAACATCCCACAGAGCACCATTAAATCCATTATTAAAAAATGGAAAGAATATGGCACCACAACAAACCTGTCAAGAGAGGGCCACCCACCAAAACTCACGGACCAGGCAAGGAGGGCATTAATCAGATAGGAAACAAAGAGACCAAAGATAACCCTGAAGGTGCTGCAAAGCTCCACAGCGGAGATTGGAGTATCTGTTCATATGACCACTTTAAGCCGTACACTCCACAGAGCTGGGCTTTATGGAAGAGTGGCAAAGTAAGTGACAAAGTATTGACTTTGGGGGGGTGAATAGTTATGCACGCTCAAGTTTTCTGTTTTTTTGTCTTATTTCTTGTTTGTTTCACAACAGAAAATATTTTGCATCTTCAAAGTGGTAGGCATGTTGTGTAAGTCAAATTAGACAAACCCCCCAAAAATCCATTTTAATTCCCGTTGTAAGGCAACAAAATAGGAAAAATGCCAAGGGGGTGAATACTTTCGCAAGCCACTGTATATCATGATTATTTGTATCAATCGCGTGTCGTGACATAATGCAGCAGCAAAAACATCGCTAGACCAGCACATTCCTCTCTCTAAAACGGTATTACACTCAAAAATGCTCTTCTGATGTGATTTAAGCATTGACATGGACTCACAACATCCAATTTCATTGTTTCTCTATGAATAATTCTAATTTTCTTTTTGAAAAACTGTAAAGCGAGAAAATAGAATTCGAGAAAATACAGAGTGCCTATTTGAAAGCTAGGAAAAAAATTATGAGTAGCTTGCGACATGTTTCATAATTTAAAAGTAGCTCTCATGCTAGAAAAGGTTGGAGGCCCCTGGTCTAGACGATCCTATCCACCAATCAGTGCTGTGTATGTACATATATTAACATTTGTGTCAACACAACACGATCAGACTGATATTTCGATGGAGGCTCAGGGAACTAAATTATAAGAAATATTATTGGAGTTATGTTCATGAAATAAACACACACAGTGATTTATTAGACATACAGTGATGAATTAAAAATACAATAAAAAGACTGCATGGGAGCTTTAAAGGTAAATTCCATCTTGCTGTGGACCAATTTATCAGTATTGGGAAACAACACAAGATGGCAGGAACAAGTCAAGCTGTGTAAGAGCCATTCCCTTCCTGCCCCTTAACAGAATGGCTTTGACTGTTGAATGCCTTCATTGACATTGGCAGACATGGGAAGCAATGTGACATTAACCACTTAAGTGCAGAAAATCACCAAACTCTTACAGTCTCTAAGTAGGTTCCGTAAAGCTTCCTCTAACTCTGATAGTTTGAAAGCTTTCGGACAGCCATGCAAACACTGGCATAATATCCTACAGCCTCAATTCACTTATCGAAATGTGTAATCTTATCCACAAAATAGTAAATACATAAAGTGCTCTTTCATTCAAAACAGAAAACAAGGAATTAGAAATAAACATCAAAAAGTATATTTTCAATGAGAAAGTCCTGAGTGAAAAAACAACATAATACATCATTACACAGAAAAATGTGAATGCCAATTGCCAGTCTGACATCTCAATATAGTACAATATTGTACCGTTTCTGACAATTATTTCGATCAATTGGACAGACAAAATGAAATAGGGCAGTGCTTATCACACATTGATCAGCAGCATAATATATACCACATGGGCGGCAGGTAGCTTAGTGGTTAAGAGCGTTGTGCCAGTAACCAAAAGGTCGCTGGTTCTAATCCCCGTAGCCAACTAGGTGAAAAATCTGTCGATGTGCCCTTGAGCAAGGCACTTAACCCTAATTGTGCCTGTAAGTCGCTCTGGATAAGAGTGTCTGTTAAATGACTAAAAATTTAAATATCAAAACATATGCATGCACAGCATAATGAGAAAGTGAAACATTAAAGAGTATTGGAGTCACAGAGGGAAAAGCAAAGAACACACAAACATAAGAACAGGTTACATTATCTTGGTATGTCTACTATTTTTATTTTTTTATGAAGATGGAACCAGGTTGAACTCCTCTGCTCTGGCAATAGCCAATAAATGATTCCCAGCTCGCACTCTGTTCACCATGAAATTACACAACCAGTTGAGTGTTGTCCGGGGAACGCGGCAAGTCACTGGAGAATTAATGAAATGCCGGGGTGGATGGAGAGAAATTGCCTGTATAACCTATACAAGGTGCCCTTGTTGTATTTCCAAGAATAAGTCATACAACTGAAACGCAGTCACCACTAAGAGATGTCTCCCTGTGCTGTGCCTTCACGTTTACTACATTGTGGTCCTAAGGAAACAAGGACAGCCGTCGGCTGACATATCACCTCCAAAGGAACATGCACAGAGGAAGTGGCAAGACCATGTTTTTTTAAATAAATATGATTCTATGGCACACCACACTCATTATATGGGTGGGTAAACAATAAGGTAAATAAGTGTTTGGTGAAATGAGGTTGTGAATAACATCTTGTTTCTTACCTGACCAGACTGCCAGTGACATCAGGATCGCGGGCTGTGACCGTTCCTATAACCGTGTTGATGGGGGCATTCTCATCCACCTGCAGGACAAATGTGGGCTTGGAGAAGACAGGGGGTTCATCTGAATCTTCCACTGCAATCTTCACTGTGGCTGTATCCTTGAAGGGGACGCCGCTGTTGGGATCAAATCGAATGTTGGCCGCCTCCACCTTCAGTGTATATGACTTTTTAGTCTCAAAGTTCAGGAGCTGTGGAAAATGACAGAAACAAATGCCTCACTGATGTCCAAAGCAGCAGGAAAGAATGCACCTGATGTGGATGGAGAAGAGTTTGGAGCCTTTCTGAGTTGAAATGCAATAGTGTGATCTCTGATCCTCTCAAAACATGTAGGAAAATAATCCAAGCACATGGTGGAACAACATTTTGTATTATTAGCAATAACCACAATCTCACCTCAAGTAATCCATGTGTTAGCAATTTGTATAGTGACATGGCATCGGCTCTAGGAAAGAATAAGGCTGTAAATAAAGTTAATCTAATCTGGTATCACACAGATCTGGTTCAAATGTGTCAGGCAATAATGAAAATAATGTTATTTGTATGTTTGTGCTACCTGAAAATATAATTTTGTGGCCCTGCATTACCATGACGATAACACTGTTACAAAATTATTGCCGGCAATCATTTGAAGGATAGCAATTTTTGAGGCATTATCATCACATGAATAGAAGTGGATGTGTTTTCAGGAATTCTAACAAAATAATGCAATTTCCTAGGGAGAAGAAACATACACCTGAAATAACAGTTGGGCTCATTCCTATTTCACAAGGACATTGAGAAACAATGTCCACTACTTTTTTACACAGCTCATTATTGAATATTTGCAACATGTAAAAACATCACAATTTAACTCTCTGGCATCTCTGCAGCCATCCCAGACTGTCACAATTGTATTTTGAATCACCTCTGGCCGCTCTTATAATACTAGAATAATGGGATCAAGTCACTTCCACGCTCCAAAACCAGGATTTATAGGGAAATCAAAACTGGGCCTTGCCGCTTGAGGGGATGTGAGTTGGCTTTGGGAATGAGAGGGGTTAGCAGAGGGATCAAAAAATTTATTCCAGCTTTTCACAAAAAAAGAAAAATAATCCAGTGGTCCCCTAGGCTGGGTCGGGCCAGCGCTGGGGCAGTGCCGGCAGCAGGCCCAGCTGTGAGAGAAAAGCAGCTGGGGACGGGGACTGACAGGGGGCTTTGAAGTCCACACGTCTGGCGTCAGGGCACCCGTATGGAGAGGGCCCTGCAGCCCAGTCTGCCGCGGTCTAAGAAGCTATTTGGAGCATTTTCATTATTAACCGCCCTTCCTCTCTCTCCTCCTCCCCACCTTCTTCTCCTCCTCCTCTATGTTGAGAGGAGTGAACAGCTGGACCAAGAGCAAACATTGGTTTCTAAGGATTCCAGCCTAATACCAAGTGTAAAGGAGCCCAGGGCTAAAAGTGGACAGGGGTCAATTGTCAGAATGATTACGCCGCAGTTAAAGAATGGAATACCACAATAGTTAAACTAACTATTCAGCACTATTTCCTGATCACCTCTATTCTGTTTTTGTATTTGTTTTACATGAACAATTAACAAGTCAGACTCCTTACTGTATTGCAGTTATAGTTGTACTTTTAAAGTGTAATGCATAGTTGACCATATCTTATAACAAAGCAGTATGTTCATATTGTTTGTCTCTTATCACTGTATGGTAGTTTCAACAAGCGACTCTACCTCCACAGTTTTACCTCAGAATAGAACTTTGAAGATAGTATTAATATTCTTATCCTCTCAAATGATCCTCAATGACATATGACCTCTCCACTGAGTCAGCCATATTTGAATTGGCCCTCTATGACACTCTGCCATTACTCATTGTTTTGGGGGAGTTCAATTCATGCAGCACTTGACTCGCTGTAATCCAGAGAGCAGCACTTTAGTTTCCATATTGATGGAACATATGCTTAGTGGACGTGTCAGACCGGCTTGTGTTGCTACAGTATGTGCATATGAAGATGGGGCTGCTTTTTCACTCCATTTTCCCCATGCTTGTCCCTTGTTGATGTCCCCACCTCAGAGCCCTCCTGTGCCATGCTTCAAATTCCCATGAGCCTCAGCATAGGATCTGTATGTATACACACAGGCCATTTAGAGACATCAAAGTTCAGTGCTGGCTGGTGGAGGAAGCAGAACTTCCCACTAACACCCCCCGATTGGCCTGAGGGGTGGGAGATAAAAAGCTTAAACCCAAAACAACAAAGCCACTTCCTAGTTTGTGCTTCTGCAGTCGTGTTTAGATCAATATTTTTTAACCTTGCCGCAAAGAATCTTTCATAATTTGCACTTGGTATTTGACAGCAGTTTATAGAGCTATTTTTGTTGTTGGGGGTGTCGTGGTGCTATTGCTCCATTTAATCCTTTGTTCTTCCACATCGGCTAAGAAAACATCCACAAGCTGGTGCAACAGGGCTCTGAAACCAAGAAAATGTTGTTCAGAGTGCAGAACGGATGCAGAAATACCAGTTCTGCTAAAGTAATCTGAACTTCACCATCTGGAGATGTAGAGGTGAGAAGAGAGTAGGCAGTTGATTTCCTGTTTTTCACATGCAATCTCATCCATCATGCTATTAGCAATGCAGGCAGGAGATTCCAGGCCAAGTATACCAGAATAAAGTGATGAGGCAGAGCCACAGCACTGCTGTCACTGTGCAATACTAGAGGGAAGTATCTCAAAGGTCTTATTGATCATGTCTAGTTTGTTCTCAAGCCGTCTGTTTTGTTTAGTAGAGTATAATCTATTCCAGGCAGATCATCAAAAAAATATTATTTAATTTCATCCAATAGTTTGTTCATAGTTACAGGAAGTCACAGTGGACGTCCTAATGTAATGTCATTTAGCATCCAAATGCAATGACATACTATCACGCTTGAATGATCTATAGCTCTAACTCGAGACATTAAACTAACCATGAGTCAAGACGTGAGCACACATCCATCACTCATGTATACACTTGAATACTTCAGGCCTGAAGTACCTCCTTCTTCTATCATCGCAGTTCTACGGAAAAATTGTGATACTGTATATTGTGGTGTAAGAGTAAATATTTAGATTGCTGGAGGCAAACATGCCATATAATTTGTTTTCCCTTTCGTACATTTAATCAGTGTTAATTTGGTAGCTGTTTTTGATATATATAGATCAATTCAATGGTGAAGGTGAATTAAGATGGAGGAATTCAGATATGATGTTTTTGTTTGCGTGCTACCCACATACTTTTTTAACTACGTCAGTGTGCCTATAAAACAGCACAATCTACTTTTCCGCCGTATTGGAGCTAGAATTGGGATCATGTATACTGTGCTAATGCCAATACAAAAAATTGTAACGGAGAGCACTGTACAACAAGGCGAACTTAGCAAATTAAGCGTTTGTGGTAAGTACACGGGGCCGCAATCTTTATGCATCTTTGCCATTGAAACTGCTTTGCAGCATACAGTATATGTAGTACTATAGCATTTATTTTTTTCATGGTCAATTTAAATTAAATCAGTCTAGATATATAGCTCTGATCTGTAGCTTGTATGAACGACCTACCTCCTTTGATACCACGTCTTGCAACCTACTATTTGGACCTTGTTTAAGTTCAAGCTGTTAAGGATATGTGGTTGTTGGTGGAACCTTAGGACAGAGGAGTTTGCGTCAGGTTCTTACCTTCTTTAGCCGAAGGATCCCCTCTTGAGTCTGGGCATCTGTAGTGATCTCGAAGACGTCCTTCTCATCACCGTCGATGATGTTGTACGTTGATTTGGCGTTCTCGCCAATGTCTCTATCATTTGCCTTTACCTTGCCACCAGGTTTACCAATGCCAAGGTCCTCTGGGATCACAAACTCGTACAGACCTGAAGAATAGGACATAATGATTATTTCACCCTAACAGTAGATGTATCCTTATCTATGCATCTATATAACTAGTACAATTCTGATTATTGTGGAAATTCATGAAAAAACATTACGCAGCAAAAGAACATCAAATACAGTGAGGGAAAAAAGTATTTGATCCCCTGCTGATTTTGTACGTTTGCCCACTGACAAAGACATGATCAGTCTATAATTTTAATGGTAGGTTTATTTGGACAGTGGGAGACAGAATAACAACAAAAAAATGAGGGAAATAAGTATTTGACCCCTCTGCAAAACATGACTTAGTACTTGGTGGCAAAACCCTTTTTGGCAATCACAGAGGTCAGATGTTTCTTGTAGTTGGCCACCAGCTTTGCACACATCTCAGGAGGGATTTTGTCCCACTCCTCTTTGCAGATCTTCTCCAAGTCATTAAGGTTTTGAGGCTGACGTTTGGCAACTTGAACCTTCAGCTCCCTCCACAGATTTTCTATGGGATTAAGGTCTGGAGACTGACTAGGCCACTCCAGGACCTTAATGTGCTTCTTCTTGAGCCACACCTTTGTTGCCTTGGCCGTGTGTTATGGGTCATTGTCATGCTGGAATACCCATCCACGATCCATTTTCAATGCCCTGGCTGAGGGAAGGAGGTTCTCACCCAAGATTTGACGGTACATGGCCCCGTCCATCGTCCCTTTGATGCGGTGAAGTTGCCCTGTCCCCTTAGCAGAAAAACACCCCCAAAGCATAATGTTTCCACCTCCATGTTTGACGGTGGGGATGGTGTTCTTGGGGTCATAGGCAGCATTCCTCCTCCTCCAAATACACAGAGTTGAGTTGATGCCAAAGAGCTCCATTTTGGTCTCATCTGACCACAACACTTTCACCCAGTTCTCCTCTGAATCATTCAGATGTTCATTGGCAAACTTCAGACGGGCCTGTATATGTGCTTTCTTGAGCAGGGGGACCTTGCGGTCGCTGCAGGATTTCAGTCCTTCACGGCGTAGTGTGTTACCAATTGTTTTCTTGGTGACTATGGTCCCAGCTGCCTTGAGATCATTGACAAGATCCTCCCGTGTAGTTCTGGGCTGATTCCTCACCATTCTCATGATCATTGCAACTCCACGAGGTGAGATCTTGCATGGAGCCCCAGGCCGAGGGAGATTGACAGTTATTTTGTGTTTCTTCCATTTGCGAATAATCGCACCAACTGTTGTCACCTTCTCACCAAGCTGCTTGGCGATGGTCTTGTAGCCCATTCCAGCCTTGTGTAGGTCTACAATCTTGTCCCTGACATCCTTGGAGAGCTCTTTGGTCTTGGCCATGGTGGAGAGTTTGGAATCTGATTGATTGATCGCTTCTGTGGACAGGTGTCTTTTATACAGGTAACAAACTGAGATTAGGAGCACTTCCTTTAAGAGTGTGCTCCTAATCTCAGCTCATTACCTGTATAAAAGACACCTGGGAGCCAGAAATCTTTCTGATTGAGAGGGGGTCAAATACTTATTTCACTCATTAAAATGCAATTCAATTTATAACATTTTTGACATGCGTTTTTCTGGATTTTTTTGTTGTTATTCTGTCTCTCACTGTTCAAATTAACCTACCATTAAAATTATAGACTGATCATTTCTTTGTCAGTGGGAAAACGTACAAAATCAGCAGGGGAACAAATACTTTTTTCCCTCACTGTACATTCAGATTTATCAATAATGGGTTTTAACAATATAGTATATGAAGAAAGAATTTGACATTTAGCTTACTTTTTGAGAACTTTGGCGGATTATCATTGACATCTGTTAGTGTGACAGTAACTGTTGTTGTCCCTGACAACCCTCCCATATGACCACCCATGTCTTTTGCTTGAATGACGACTAGGTACTCCTCTCGCATCTCTCGATCCATCCCATGTAAAGCAATTTTAATGATCGCTGAAAGCAAACATTTTTACATCAAATATATTGTTATTGCAAAAAATGAACATACACATAAATAATTTGAATGGGGTATACAAAGGCATTCATAACGCTTTACATGATTGTTTCATTGCACCTTTAAGAGTGTTGCAGTATCCTTCATAACAAACTTTTAAGCACTTATTTTATTAAACAGCAGTGGAATTTCGGACAGAACACCTGGAGAGAAGCTCTGATTCTGTGGATGGCATTGCAAATCAATGTGTTTGTTTGCTGGAGTGTTGTACTGCTGTCTGCAAGTAATTTGTATTCTGATTGAATGGGAATTATGCTGTCCAGGTGCATCATGCACCCCAGAAATCTGAGGGGACACAAAGTACGTGAGGATGGCTGAGGGGTGGAGAATTTTTTTCAAACACCTGCAATCTAGAGCCTTAATTATTATGCTTAATTTTATGTGAAAAAATATGTATATTTTTCTGCATATCTAAGCATACCTATTGAGCTGTCTATATCCTCCTGACTGGTGGTTATTTTTTTAAAGAAGCTAAACATGATTCTCTGCATCTCTGCTAAAATCTGGGTAAAAGACTGAATGGAATGTGAGTCTTACTCAGTGCATTTAGTATTTTGCTTGCTTTTCTTAAGTCTACCAACCTTGCCAGCAGGCATGCCAGCTAAGATAGTTAGACAAGCTAGCTGCTGTAACTTGATTGATAGCCTGAAATGGCTTCTTGGTAGCTAGTTATGAGGTTGGGAGATTGGGAACGTATCTGGACAAGCTAAAGCCAACTTCATAAAATTGTTAGGTGGCTAGTAGTATTACAGAGAATAAAATATACAGTGGGGGGAACAGGTATTTGATACACTGCCGATTTTGCAGGTTTTCCTACTTACAAAGCATGTAGAGGTCTGTAATTTTTTATCATAGGTACACTTCAACTGTGAGAGACGGAATCTAAAACAAAAATCCAGAAAATCACATTGTATGATTTTTAAGTAATTAATTTGCATTTTATTGCATGACATAAGTATTTGATACATCAGAAAAGCAGAACTTAATATTTCGTACAGAAACCTTTGTTTGCAATTACAGAGATCATACGTTTCCTGTAGGTCTTGACCAGGTTTGCACACACTGCAGCAGGGATTTTGGCCCACTCCTCCATACAGACCTTCTCCAGATCCTTCAGGTTTCGGGGCTGTCGCTGGGCAATACGGACTTTCAGCTCCCTCCAAAGATTTTCTATTGGGTTCAGGTCTGGAGACTGGCTAGGCCACTCCAGGACCTTGAGATGCTTCTTACGGAGCCACTCCTTAGTTGCCCTGGCTGTGTGTTTCTATTGGGTTCAGGTCTGGAGACTGGATAGGCCACTCCAGGACCTTGAGATGCTTCTTACGGAGCCACTCCTTAGTTGCCCTGGCTGTGTGTTTCGGATCGTTGTCATGCTGGAAGACCCAGCCACGACCCATCTTCAATACTCTTACTGAGGGAAGGAGGTTGTTGGCCAAGATCTCGCAATACATGGCCCCATCCATCCTCCCCTCAATACAGTGCAGTCGTCCTGTCCCCTTTGCAGAAAAGCATCCCCAAAGAATGATGTTTCCACCTCCATGCTTCACGGTTGGGATGGTGTTCTTGGGGTTGTACTCATCCTTTTTCTTCCTCCAAACACGGCAAGTGGAGTTTAGTGGAGTTTAGACCTTCTCCCATTCCTCCTCTGGATCATCCAGATGGTCATTGGCAAACTTCAGACGGGCCTGGACATGTGCTGGCTTGAGCAGGGGGACCTTGCGTGCGCTGCAGGATTTTAATCCATGACGGCGTAGTGTGTTACTAATGGTTTCCTTTGAGACTGTGGTCCCAGCTCTCTTCAGGTCATTGACCAGGTCCTGCCGTGTATTTCTGGGCTGATCCCTCACCTTCCTCATGATCATTGATGGCCCACGAGGTGAGATCTTGCATGGAGCCCCAGACCGAGGGTGATTGACCGTCATCTTGAACTTCTTCCATTTTCTAATAATTGCGCCAACAGTTGTTGCCTTCTCACCAAGCTGCTTGCCTATTGTCCTGTAGCCCATCCCAGCCTTGTGCAGGTCTACAATTTTATCCCTGATGTCCTTACACAGCTCTCTGGTCTTGGCCATTGTGGAGAGGTTGGAGTCTGTTTGATTGAGTGTGTGGACAGGTGTCTTTTATACAGGTAACGAGTTCAAACAGGTGCAGTTAATACAGGTAATGAGTGGAGAACAGGAGGGCTTCTTAAAGAAAAACTAACAGGTCTGTGAGAGCCGGAATTCTTACTGGTTGGTAGGTGATCAAATACTTATGTCATGCAATAAAATGCAAATTAATTACTTAAAAGTCATACAATGTGATTTTCTGGATTTTTGTTTTAGATTCCATCTCTCACAGTTGAAGTGTACCTATGATAAAAGTTACAGACCTCTACATGCTTTGTAAGTAGGAAAACCTGCAAAATCGGCAGTGTATGAAATACTTGTTCTCCCCACTGTATATACTGTATAAAAAAATATATTGTATGCAGAATGGACCTTATTGGCTGCAGTGGCACAGTGCAGAATAAGAAGAGCTCAGTGCAAGGATAATCCACTCAGAAAACAGAGGCCTGCAGGATAATCAAATAAATGAAGGTATTTTTTGGCCTGACAGCTTTGGTCATATTATGCCTGAGACAATGCACTCTCAGCTAAGAGATTAATTCACATATTCTCACTGCACCACTTAAAAAAATATATTTTTTCACTATTGTTGGGGGGGGGGGGGGGGGGGGGGGGGGGGGGGTGATTTAGACTGTATTATCAGAGTAATAACATGTATGCTACACTGTCTTGAAAAATGTTTTTTACACTATGCATATGACTTTGAAGCAGGTAAAAACAACTCTCCCTAAAAAAAGTGCACGCAGACACACATACACACACACAAACACACACACGCACGCACCACACCAAACACACATGCACACACACTTCAGTCATCCTCTGTTACTCACTCTACTGTCATCTCTGTTGATCATCGTTAGCTATTCAAATTAATTCCTAATCACTGAAAAGGGTGGAAAGACAAACACTCATTTCCATAGATATTTGCTAAGATATTTTCTACCATCCATTAACCAAGTGATGGATTGGGGCATGATGTTTATTTATTTATCAAATGCATTTCATTTCCTTCCTGGTGTTGGAAGTGTCAAATGGATTATAATGTTTGTTTTTCCCTTACCTTTTACTTGTCATTAACATTCATTAACACATCTGGCTCACTTGAATGAGCCATCTGCATGTGCTCAGTAATCATGCAAAGCGTACACGCTGATCCTCAAATGGTCCTTTCATAGATTCACTATAACTTCTCCATTTTATTATGGTAGAGGTGAGTGATTAAAATGCATAATGTTGTTGAGAAGGAAACAGGGTTTTTATATGTAAAGCTACGTCTTCATATGTATTATGTACATACGGTTTTGACGTTTTTAGAGCTTGTTTATTATATGTTGTTTTTCCAAATTGTGAGCAGTTGATTTCCATCGCATTGCTTATTAATGTAATTTCACCATTATTTAATCATGTTGCTTACAGACACACTGTTAACAAGTCGGCTGAAAATGCAATTAGGAAAACAACAGAGTCAAGGTTGAAGAATAAGCAGACGGCAGATGGAATTAAAAAAGATAGCACTGTCATTTAAATGTAACAGTCCTTGAATATCTTGTTGGGAGTTATATCCTCAAAATGCAACTATAATCTGTATGCTGAGTAATTGTCCATGTATGGATAATATGTATTCAATCTGTACATTTAGCTGAAACAACACTTGTGATGTTTTGACTGCCATCAAACCGTGGAGAAAGGATTGTATCTGTTCAGGGTCAACAAGGTTACATGTCATGACCCTGAAGTTTACATTTATTTTGCGCTGTTGAAGAAAAAGCTGCAAGTAAGCATTTCACTGTACTGTTTACACCCTCTATATCCTGTGCATGTGACAAATAAACTTTGTTTTGATTTAGTATTTCACCATGGCAATCCACTCACCAGTGTTGGGGTCTATGGAGAAGTAAGGCTGTCCGTCCAGTATGCTGTACACAAGTTTAGCACTGTTTCCATAGACTGGGTCATCTGCGTCTGTTGCCGTCACCCTAGTGACTGAGGTACCTTTATATGAGAAACAGCACATTATTAAAAAGAGAGTGGACGTCTGACACCCATAATCACTCCTTACAGCTAGCTTCTCCCCCTGTAATCTTCCTGGTTCCACTATAAAGCCAGAGGTACTTATTGGTAAGGTCAAAGACAACATTATTGCCAGACACATGAATGACACAGCATACTGTGCTACAATGTCCCAACAGAGAAAACGATCTTACAGTGAAGGCTTTGAAAAATGAACAAGAAAGAGCAGGGCTGATGCTGATGCCCAACTCTTCATCAGTCTGTGGCTCAGGTGGGAAGAGAATGAAAGGAGGAAAGCTGTTCGTAGGCAGCAACTTGACAGTACAGATGGTATGGTAATTTATTTTGTAAAATATGTTCTCAGGTGTTCTGACTACATCGGTAAGTGTTCATGGTTACAGAAGGCATCAGGCCTAGCCACAGGTATCCAGGCCTGTTGACTGCAGGAGACAGAATGGGTCATAGTGGGGGACAACACTAGTTAAGGCCACCTCTGTGCCTGCCATTAGGCTGTGCCATTAATCTGGCACAAACAAAGTAAATTACACCAGGCCAGTTTAACATGGTGCTTCTCAGTTTTAATATAAGGATGCTAACTCGTTTCTATTCTAGTTGATTTCTCTGCTGATTGTTGTTAGGACCATTGAAAGAAAATTGTGGAATACAGGTGGAGATGTTTCCCTCATGCAGCTGCTGGCAAGGAACACAGTCTGTTGGCCTAAACTCCTCTGTTGTGCCTTGTATCACCTGGCTTTGGGGCTTGGCAAATGTTTTTGAGGCCAAGAGCATGAGATGTGCCTTTGTAGATACAGACATTCTGCAGTTCAGAATATGTGGTGATCATCTGTTTTACAGGTACACTGAATAATACTTTCATGAGCCTGTTCATATGACATGTTCCACAATAAAGACCCACTCCAGCAGAATTTCAAGATTGTTTCATGAGAGAGGGTCATTAAATATTGCACACGTAGGAAATGCATTTCCTGTTTAAACAGCCACAACATGTCAAACAATGATTAATAGTAACCTTGTCCTCCCTTTTACAACAACAAAACAAAGCATATAGACCACCATTGCACTCAGACTCAAAAACCTGCTTTGCTATTGCTACCCAATTATTTCACATAGAGAGCCTCAAGTGGCCCTTTGAGACGTGTTTGTTAGTAATTCATGTGCTGTGATGACCCTTACTGTTGCCAGGGCTTACCTTTACATTTCATACTGCTTATTATTGCTGAGGCTGTGTGTGTTTGTGTTTGTGTTTGTGTTTGTGTGTGTGTGTGTGTGTGTGTGTGTGTGTGTGTGTGTGTGTGTGTGTGTGTGTGTGTGTGTGTGTGTGTGTGTGTGTGTGTGTGTGTGTGTGTGTGTGTGTGTGTGTGTGTGTGTGTGCGTGCGTGCGTGTGTGTGCGTGGTATGTGGTATGTGGTGTGTGAGTGACTGAGTGAGTGTGTACGTGTATGCGTGCTGGAGATGAGCTACTTAGTATCAGACCCTTTCATGACATTTTATGCAGTATCATATACACTGTTTTCCCTGTGGTCAGAAAATCACAGAACAGCTTCAGGTACTGTTACAATACCAGAACTGTAGTAAACCTAGATTAACTGAAAATGTCACAAAGTGTTTGTTTAAATCAAATGGGCAGGGTTTGTAGGGAAATAATACTAACTAATTAAAATTGAAGTACTATTGATGTATGCAACAATACAAATTAGTCTATTCCTGTATATTGTATCTGCTATAGGTATTTGCCAATTGTCAAATTAAATTAAGACAGGACAGGAAATTGCTCCACTTTTCAGTCTTATCTGCCTAAAAGTTAAATTGCAAATACTACAATGGCAGTGGGAAAATGGAGCCATATTTGCATTTAATTATGAAAGCACCTTCATACTTCTTGATTGCTTGAAAGGTGTGTCTGCAGCAAATAGCAAATCCAAACTATGTGACAATCCATAGGGATTGAAGTGCGGAACAAAACAGTGGAACCAGTGGGCCTTGAAATAGCCCCCACTTCCTTTTTTCTTACAGAGGGGTACATTCTCCACTCCTCTGATAAAAAATAAAATAATGAGAGATTAGAAAAGCTTCTGTTTGGCACTGTTTCAAATCATTACAGATTAGCTTGTCCTTCCTGGATATTGTACCGAGAATTTGGGGACACTCATGACTGCAGAGTTGAACGCACCTCTGGACCCTTGGTCGAGGAAACTCAATTGTGGGAATATTGTCTCTGGTTTGATTTGATGCCTGTAGCCCACCAGTGCAATTACAAAGATGTAATACCTATAAACTTTAGGAGATGAAAAATAACAATCGCTTATAAAAAAAAATGAAATTCCAAAGCTGATTTGGGTCTGTGACAAAACCTCTGCAGGTTTGAGGCCTAAATCGACTGATGTGTGCAGTCACACTACTGACGTTAATTCTCAAACAAATGTCACTTACAGTATGTGGTAGTATCTGAACTAACTTTGCGATGGATGAATGAATCCATGCTATTCCCCTGTGTAAAGACATATGTCATGCACTTTCTGTGGTAAACCTAATGTCATCTCATTAATATTACCTAGAGTCCTGAGGACTTATTGCTACACAAATTATAAAAACTAATGTTATGCCCACAGGTTATGAAACTATTAGGCAATTAAGAGTTATGGTCATGGTCTTTATGATGTGAACGCTAGTGTTTCAATAGCAAGGGCGGGATAAAGATGTTGGGGTATATCCTTTTGTCTCATCAGATAAACAAATAAGAGGGCACTTCCCATTTACTGTGTACACTGCTACAGTGATAGAACATCAATAGGAATCTTCCTTGAAAACTGGAGAGGGGATAAATCCAGAGGCTTAGTGATGTCAGTTGTGGCACGCTGGCAGTGGGAGTGGGAGTGGGAGTGGGAGCTCTTGGTTAGTTCCATGGCTTTTGTTTCCCAGTGCCATAATTGTCTCCGGCTGATGCTCCAGTGTTGCTAGGGGCCCATGGAGCTAACAGGACCTCAGACGGGCTATCCTGGTTAGCTCGCCACTGACATATGTATATGTATGCAGTCACTGAGACATAAGGAAAGTAGTATCCAACTCTACAACCTTGGGTACACTGTCTGCACTGTGGGGTGCACACAGACTAAGGTGTCTGTCTCCAAGCACACTATGCTCAGTGGTTAGAATGGCAGTATTATTTATATATAGCCTCATCAAAATGTACCATACATTCTATCTGAGATTGCAAATAATATTAAATAAATATTATGAAAATAATGTTCTTGAAATAATTACTATTTTCTATCTTTACATTTTTATACGAAAATGTATTAAATAATACTGTATGTGAATTAAGTTCCAGTAACTCATCATATTGATGAATGGATGTTCCTCAGGTCAATCATCTCCTCTGGTTTTTAGGTCAAATACAGTGAGTGACAGCCCTCAACTGGCTGACCAGTAGTGAATGGTCTATGAATGCACTAACCTTGTGACAAGAGAATGACCATGTATTGATTATCATCAGATAGATATTGGCACTGTTATCTTTTCTGGCTATACCGCGATAGGAAAATAGCTCATAGTCAGACTAAAATGTCATGTGGATTGGCTAGCTTGCTGTAGTGAATGCTGCTGCTGTATGACCCAGTTGATTGAAATGCATAGACTGGGAAACACATTAAGCACTGTCAGGCCTGTTGTCCAATGAAAATAGCATGCCAAAGCTCTTGATATAGAAATAGGATAAACAACCATCTACTGTAGGTGCAATGCCATACTTGGAATGCTGCCAATGTATTACCAGAGTTGTCAACCAGGTTCATACGGGTAACATATTAACTTTAACTTTGATGAGGCAGATGGATCTGATGGAAATTCTGAAACAAATCAGTATGGAAACAACTTGAAAGTGTGAACTTTGTCATCTGCCATTCAACATGGAAGTCCAATTTCCCACCCAATGTTCAATCCACAGTATGATTTACAACTAGCACTGTCATTGAAAATGGTGTTACATCCCATATTGCTCATGAGGAGTCATGAGCATGGTGTAAAAGTCTGACAATAAATAATAATCAGTCAGTAAAACGTTCTCTCCCTCAACAGATCACGCTTCATAACCCAGGTAATGCATACTCATGCTTAACATTGTGTGCAAGTAGGGCTACTTTAATAGATATGAGGAAGAAATGAAAGACAGTACGGTCAGGGCAGTCTGAATCTGCATATGTTTACATCAAAGAAGTGTTGAATATCAGAGAGATACTGTATAGGCCCAGACAGGAAACTAGAGAATATCCAGAAGAAATGGTTGTCAGTATCACAAAAATTGCTCCTCTGAGCCAGTGATGGATAGGGGACGTCAGGCTTGTGAAGTGTAAGGGTCTGTCACACATAACCACTTACATTGTCATTTTCGCAGTACAATTAATGGTATTTTTCTAAGACACAGAGGAAGCCTTCACTGAGAAACTGGAAGGGAATGTGTGTGTGTGTGTCTGTGCCTGCATGCGTGCCTGTGTGCGTGCATGCGTGTGTGTGTGTTGTAGGGGGAGTGACAAGGAAACCTTACATAACAAGCAGGCTGTGGAGTGTGAGCTGTGACAAGCCGTTTACAGGAACCACAGGAACAAAACAATTAAGAGTGTCCTTTGTTCACCGCTGATGGCTGTGACATATGCCGCCATTTTAAAGTGTTGTGTCATTGATTCACTTTAATTAGTTCTCAGGAAATGTGTGCAACATGCAGATAGTTCCGGGAAGTAAGTTAGAGACAGAATGGGACACTACACATAGGTAATTGCTCCCAGGACAGTTATAATGGCTGGACAATAACAAATGAAAAGTCATGGTATATGTTCTAATGAATATATGAATCCTGAGCAAGTGACCATAATGGTGTTCTTTCCAAAACTCTAACAGCAAGGGGTGTAAATATTTAGCACAAATTATGTTTTCGAAAAACAAGTTACAATATGCTGTAGGAACAGTTCTGGAAAATGATAGTGTGGTTAA